CGTTGTCTTGGGGTGCGGGTCTCCCCTCGGCCCTGAGCCAGGCCTGCGTCCAGGCCTCACTGGTATGGGGGTGAGTATGGGGGTGAGTGTGGGGGGCTGTGAAGGGGAGTGGGGCAGGGTTCCCACCACGGAGGAGGGTCCTGCGGGAGGGAAGGAAGCTGTCCCCCATGTCGGAACGGGGCGCCCCAGCAGCCCGTGGGCTTCACACACTGGACAGATGGGGCTCTGCACCCCCAGCACTGCTGAGGAAAGGGCCATTCTGAGGGGCGTTGATTAGGGTTTGGGGACTGTCACCCTCATGAGTGGGATGAGACAGTCAAACGAATCCTGCTGATTGACTGGCTCACGTTCCCGCCAGGAAAGGGGACTCGGGGGTGAAAGGACGTGACCGCGGAGCAGAGCCCCGTAGGGACAGCGCGGCCACCAGACCTTGGCCAGGCCAGGGCCGAGAAAAGCCAGTGGTTCAGGCAAACGTTCGGGAAAATTCCAACCTGTGTCGTGAGCCTTCAGCCAGGGAGGCAGGGATGCAGGGAGGCGGAGCTCGGCCCGAGGGAGGGGCCGCAGTCAGGGACTGGGCTGGTGCCGGACAACGGGAAAGGACGGCGTGGCCAGGCCAGGAACGCCCACCCTCCGCCCAGCCTGCGTGCCCACAGTGCCCACGGTGCCCACGGAACCACTTCCGGCTGTGCCGCCCTCCCTGGGGAAGCCCTGCCACCGGGAGCCGGGGCGGCCAGCACGGAGCTGTGACCCCCTGGACATCCCTCAGCCTGTCCTGAGAATCCCATCCCCCTGGTCGAGGCTGACACGGAGGGCTGGCCTGGGCCACAGAGTGACGTGCAGTGCAGCCCTTGCTCCCAACAGCACAGGACTGGCCTCGCCTGTGATGGCAACTCGAGGTGGTCACTCTGCCACAACGAGATCCACTGCCCGGGTCCATGCTGGACTGGAACCTGAGAGTTCTCGAGGTGGGGGGGGGCTGCAGGGTGCGTGGGGGGGCCCTGAGGGCGGCAGCTAGGCCACCGGCTCTGGCTTAGTGGTGGAAGTCACCTCTGTGAACTTTTGATGCCACGTGTGTCAGATGAAACTTAGACACCTACCTCGAGGGCCGCCCCTGCCGTCGGGCACCTGGCAGGTGCTCGGTAGAGGCCCGATGCCTCCCCTCCCAGCCCGCTAGTTCCTGTGTCACCGTGTGTCTGTGCCCACCCCGTCTGGGCCTGGGAATGCACACTGGCAGACGGGTGGCCTGCCACCAGCCCCAGGGACAGTGACAGGCATTCTCCCTGATGCCTGGGGCATGGGGGCCTCTCCGTAGCCAACGTGCTGATGGGACACCACCAGAACCCAAACACCTGGGGAGCAAATGACTCATCTCTCTCCCGCAGAGCAGGTGGCCCTCTGGGTGACTTCATGAAGTGCACTCACGCAAACACATACACAGGACAGAACTGGGCGACCGACGGCCACTGCGTCACAGCAAGTGTCGCCACTAAAACGTCAGCAGAAGACCCAACAAAGGCGAGAAATACAGAAAAAGATGGGCCAGGGGACAGGAAAGGGCGCCTCGCCCGCTGCGGCGGCCGCGGCCGGGGCCTCAGAACGGCTACCTGTGTCCTGAGCTTGATCATGTCGGCCTCCATCTGCGAGTTGGACTCGTTCAGCTCCTTGATCTCCTCGTCCAGCTGCTTGATCTCCTCGTCGTTTTCTATGCCTGCAAGCAGGACGGGGCGCGTTAGAGCGCGGGCGGCGGGGCCTGGCTCACACGCTGGGGCCCTCTTTGCTCCTTTTACGTCTGGAACTCAATTTGGTGGGAAAAAATACCCCTGAATTTGAAAAGGAGTCACGTTTGTGTGTCCCTCAGTCTCGCCTCCCTCCTTACGATCAGGAAAGTCGACTGCAGCGCCGGCCCCTGGGGCTGGCCGGCAGAGCCCCAGGGCAACCCGCGCTGGCCTGGCCGTGGGCGTGCGGACGCGGCCCGGGCCCCTCCGCCCCCTCCCGCTCACTGCTCTCGCTGTCCCTGTCACGTGCACGCGTCCTCGACAACACTGTGGGGTCCCTGCCCTCACTGAGCTTGGGTTTGGGGTCGGAAAGCGATGAACAGCCGTAACTAAAACCGGGTTCGGCGAGCGCTAAGGGCAGTCTACCTGGCCGACTGGCAGGCAGAGGGGGTGGACTTCGGGTGGCGGTCACGAGGAGCCTGCCAAATGCCTGATGTCTGAATAAAACCCCCTCGTTCCGAAAGGCAGGAAAGACAGGTCAGCTGACAGACCCGCGCATGTGAGGCCCTGCGGGGAGGCTGTCCGGCAGGGGCGCCGGCCGGGGTGGGTCCGGGACAGGGGTGCAGGCTGTGGGGGCCGGTGCGGCCGAGCGGCACCCCGGGGAATGCCTGCATCATGAGGAGTGTCCAGCGCCGGCTCCCTCGACTGGCTGCGCTCGGAGGCCGCGTGCTACGCTGCCAAGGAGCAGGAGGATCCACACCCTTTCTCGTGCGGGGTGTCTGGCCTGCACGACTGAGTGCGCCTGGGGAGGCAGGAGCAGAGATCTCGCACAGCGGTTTGCCAGTCCTGCTGGCCACGTGGCACGGTACGGGTCCTTGCTCAAAAATAACAGAAAACATGGGAGCCCAGGCCTCCGAGGGGCTTGGGGACAGATACCCACGCCAGCTGCGTCATTCTGGGAGCCCCAAGCATGGTGGAGACTAGAGAAGGTGGGGGTCGGAGGGGCTGGCTCGCAGCTGCTGTTTTCAGTGAAATAAAACAAAAGCCTCGGAGGAGTAAGCTGTCTTCCCGAATGAGCCCCGTCCCCGCCCCAGAGGCCTTTGTCACAGAGCAGGCGGCCGGAGCGAGCGGTGGCCACGCTCAAGTTGACTGCCCACATCACGGGCTTGTCCTCCAAGTCCTTTCCTCCCACGAGTCAGTCTTGGGCGTCGGAGCCGGCTTTCTGGATAAGCTAGTGTTCAGTGCCTGCCACCCAGAGGGACGTGGGGACCGGTGACCGGAGGCCGTGGGTCCTGCTCCTGTGGCCGCCGACAGCCGCTGCAGGCCTCGGGTGCACCTGCCAGTCTCTCGGGCCGGAACTCCGAGAACACGCCTGCCCTTTTCACCGAGGCGCCCGTCGCGGTCCCAGGGGCAAGGAAGTGCTTTGGGAACAGCGCCTGCCTCTCCCCCGGTGTGGCCAGAACTTTATGGTGACTTTTCAAAATCGGGAGGTAGGGCAGACCGAAGTGACATGTGACTTGGCTCAGGCTGGGGAGGGGCCGGTGTGACTACTTTTCCGCAGATGAGGTTCCGACGCTTCTCAGGACGAGCACGCCCAGCGCAGAGTGACATTGTTGTCTGTGCCGCTGCCAGCGGCCTAGCGCTCGGCGACACCGCTCCCGCGTGGACACTGGAGCGCCTCGCCTCCCTGGGCTGCGGTGGGGCACCTCCCAGTGCTGGAGTCGGGACACCAGGTTGGCGTGGCTCTTCCCAGGGGGCCGGGGCTGGCTGTGCGAGGCGTTTGGTCCGGGTTCTTCCTGGCAGGAGAGGTGAATGGGCCCCATGCTCCCGCCGTCCCCAGCAACAGGCTCCCCACTGCCGCTGAGCGTGTCGTAGAGGGTGGGCTCCTGGAGGGTCGCTGACTGTGACTGAGCGCACAGGGAAGAACGGTGTGCCTCAAACCCCAGCCGTCACCTTCACTGGCCGGTAGAGGCCCTCCCTCAACGCAGTGACATAAGCGACGTCCATTAAGCGCAGCACGGTGTGCTCAGCTCGGTCTTGGGCTGCATCCTGGCAAATGAAAGCTTAGAAGGATTTCGATAAAGTGACGAGCAGAGGATGCAGTCTCTCTGGAACACGGGCGGGATCTCGGAGAGCCACCTCATCGGTCTGAACGTTTGCGGAAATGTTTCCAACAATCACTACTTTCTACCTGATCCTCCTGGAAACCAGCACCTGAGCCGGAGTAAGGACGTGTTTCTGAGCTGCTGGGACCAGGGTTCTGGGAGTCGGGAGCTGCCATCCTGGGTTCTAAAACGTGGCAGACCAGGCCCCAAACCCCTCCCCTGCTCCTGAAGGGTTTCGTGGTGAGTGACTTTCCTAACCCCCCAGAACCGCACACTCTGACCTGCTACAGCGGTTGTAAGAACTACATTAGTCACCTAAGCCACTGACCACAGCGAGATGGCCTAAATGATGGCTGAAGAAAGGGGTCGCCTGTGACAGGTGAGGACGGCCAGTTTGTGTGTCCACACCATCCGCATCTGGCTGCGCGGAGCGCAGACCGACCGTGCCCCACCGACTCGGCAGTGTGAGCTGACGCACGATGCGTGGGCCAGGCGTGGGCAGCCCGCAGTACGAGCAGTGCCCGGGTCCAAGCGGTCTCTCCGCGTCCGTTCCTGCCGTTGCCCCAGTCTGTCCTCTACCTGACCACGTCTGCCCCCGGCGCGGGGTCACAGGCTGCACGGACTCGGACCAGTGGGCCTGAGGACCTGGCCTCCACACCAGGCAGCTCTGGGGGTGACACTCGCACTGAGGATGTTGGTGCCTCCTCCTTGGTTGTGAGCGCTGCTCCTCGATGACCGAGAGGTGACACTGGAGGTCCTGGTGTCTCACACGGGCTTCCTCGCCCTGGCTGGGGGTGGTGGGGCGAGGGCCGCGGGCGACAGCTCTGTCCCACAAGTTGCTGTGCCCAGCACCTAGCGGAGCATTGAAGGGGCGTGGCAGGGACCGTGAGCTCAGGGTACAGACGTGGTGACCCTGGTTCTCTCCATGTCACGTGAGGGCCACACGTGCTCAGAGGGATGGTCCAATGGCTGAAAGAAGGCTCTGGCCTGTGGCCCGGGACCTGTGCACCCCATGTTGGGGGCTCTTCAAGTCCTGTCTGCTGGCGGTCAGGTGGTGGGCACGTGGGGGTCTCAGGGCCGCCGGTGGCAGATCCTGTGAGGGGCCTCTGACACGCTCCCTGGGCCGGAGGGCCACGGGCAGGAGTGACTCGTGTCTTGTGGCATTCTGCTCCTCCATGGAGCACGGTCAGGGAAGGGCCCTGCCCGGAGCCCGCCGGTCCTGACGACCCTCCCGCGGGCACGAGGCGGGCACCCAGCCCCTGCTCTCTCCGGTGTCCAGGCCGCGGCCGCGGGCGGAGGCGCTGGCCCTCCTCGTCGGGAGGTGTACTCCAATGTCGCCGATGTTGCCGATGCTGAGCCGCTGCTCCAGGGGCAGCACCGGGGGAGCCGCTGCCAGCCCATCAGCGCAGGGCGCGTTCTGTGTGCGCGTCTGCTTACAGACGCCTGGGCAGGCTGTGCTGTCACTTCATCAACGCCAAAGCCGCCCTGACAGCGCACGACCGCCTGGCCAGAGCCGCCTGGCCACCGACTTGCTCCATGAGGCCCGTCACAGCCCCTGGCACTCGGGGACACGAGACAGCCCTGCAGCCCTAGGCTTGGGGCCCCTGAAGCAGGGAAGTCACCGCCGAAAAGCACAAATGTTCAGGAACACGGCCCCAGACAGACGGTGACAAAGGCCGTTTGCAGAGCGCACTGGGACGTGTGGCAGAGCGCCTGCTCGTTCCGCCTCAGGTGGGAGGCGCCTCTCTGCCCTGCGCCCGTCCCCGGGGACACGCTGGAAGACTAACTTGGGGTTTACAGATGAACTTCAGCAACTGGCGAATGCACAAACACGGGACCGCGGGGTGCCCCAGGGCTGGCCCTCCCCCTCTGCAGCCTCTCCACACCCGTGGGGGCAGGGGCCGTGGGGATGGACCTGGCAGGTGGGCTGAGAGCGAAGGCATCGCTGATGGGGCTGCGTGTGGCCCGAGGGCCCGGGATTCCGGGGAGAAACCACTGGAAGCCCTGCTGTGGGGACACCTGTGACTTTGGCTTGTGAGCCTGGTGAGAGGCGACATCAGGGGACAGCCTGGGGGAGACCACTTTCCCGTTGACGGCGTCACAGAGCGGCCTGCAGCCGGTTCCCGTCAGCCTCAGTCGTGCTAGGCTGGTGACCTGAGGCCATGGAGCTGGCTGAGGCCTCCTGACTGTGGAGGGGCAGGGGGGACAGTTACCGTTGCTGGCCCGCTGTCGGATGGTCAGCATCTGCTCCCCGGACAGCTTTGCCTTCTTCATTGCTGACGTGGCTCGCGGGCAGCCTGACAAGCTGGGGACGGAAGACGTGGGATGGCGTTAGTAATGGGTCTTGGGAGAGCCCCAAAGCCCCGCAGAGAGAGGGGTCACGAGCGAGGTGGGTCACCGAGTCCTCTTATCGGACTGCTTACAGGCACAGCGCTGTCTGCAGGAGGGAGAGCCACCAGACGAGGGCACACGTGTGGCTGCTGTGTGCACATGAGGGAGACGTGTCCCTATGGGCTCAGGGACACATGTGGACACCAGCATCGGGGGCGCGGTGGCTTGGGGGTCCCAGCAGCTGGGGCACTGGGGCGGGAGGGAGACGTGGCCGTCACGTCTGCCTTTCGGGCTGCCTGGGACTTTCATGGAGTGGCCGTCTTCCTTAAAAGCTTCGGTATCATGGAAACTGTCAGACTTGCTGAGTTTAAAACTTGATTTCAAACACACAGAAGTCGGGAGAGCAGAGTGACAAGCCGACCCCCATGTCGCCCTTGTGCAGATGGCCACCCGTCTGCACCCTGCCCTCCCCCAGGAGAGTATTCCGGAGCAAGCCCGGGGTGAACAGCACCCCCATATCACCGAGACATCTGTAAACTAGCGCGTGTCATCGGATGCGCGGTTTGGTTTCAGACATTTCACTGGGTTCCATCGGGTCTACACAGGCTCTGCCCAGTGAACTGGGTCGGTGGGCCTGACGACCATCTTGACGGCACAGCTCCTTGTCCCTTCCTGCTGTGCACATGTCACATACCCTGGCCACACCTGCCTCTTGGAGGCTCACCTCTAACCTTTCACCCCTCACCCTGGCTATGGTCAGAAGCATCCACACAGAGGACCCCTGCACTCGTGCTCAGGGTCCACCGGGCACATCACATGTGGGTGCAGGGAAAACGGTATACATGTAATGTTGCATGCACATGCTGCTACCACACATGTAACATTGTGTGCATACATCGATACCATACATGTAACATTGTATGCTTATGCCAGTATCATATAGCAACATTGCAGCACACATGGATACATCTGTAACACTGCATGTGATATATGTGTAACATGCATGTGTATGGCATGGTCACGTAGGTAACATTGCATGCATATAATATCATGCATTTAATATATGCATACGATACGGACACACAGGTAACATTGTGTGTGTGCATCGATGTCATGCATGTACCATTGCATGCATGGGTATTATATAGCAACAATGCAGCACGCATTGGTATCACATTTGCAACATCACATATGATATGTGTGACATGCATGCATATGGTGCGACCACATATGTAACATTGCATACATACATTGATAACATACATGCAACAATGCATGTACATGTCAGTATCATACAGCAACATTGTAGCGCACATTGATATATCTGTGACACTGCATGTGATATGTGCATAACATGCATGCATATGGTATGGCCACATATGTAACACTGTACGCATATAACACCGCGTATGCAATGCATGTATGTGATGCGAACACACAGGTAACGTTGTGTGCGTGCATTGATATCATGCATGTAACATTGCATGCATGTGTCAGTATTATATAGCAACAATGCAGTACACAATGATATCATATCTGTAACATCACATATGATGTGTGCGTAACATGCATGCATATGGTGCGACCACATATGAAACACTGTATGCATACGTTGATATCATGCATGCAACAATGCATGCACGTGTCAGTATCATATAGCAACATCGTAGCACACATTGATATATCCGTAACACTGCATGATATACGTGTGACATGTATGCATATGATACAATCACATGTGTAACACTGTATGCATGCATTGATATCACTTCATCCCTATATTCAGTGCCTGATGGCTCTGCTCCGGTGGCTGCACGGTGAGGCCTGTCAGGTGTTTATCTTTATCTATTAGCATCTAACACCCAATGACAGAGCAGATTACATGGTTATTAGCGAGATCTATTTAATGTCTACATTAACATACGAGGCCTTCTAAGTATCTCTTCAGACATCTTTGTCTAATACGTTCCCTCGTGGAGATACATATTCACATAGTTATTCTGGGGAAAAACCTTATACAATGAATATTTTCACTGCTGTTTGCAGTTCACGCTGAAGGTCCGGGTGATGTCTGATGTTTGTGTGACGTTCTGTCTATTCTCACATTAGACTGTCCACGACATGCTGAATTGTCACCATATCTGCTGCTTTCCCCAGAACCATTGCTAATGGTGATTCTAGATTTATAGGTGAAAGGGGTAATTGAGTTTCAACCCAGACGGCCATCGCCAGCCCCAGCCCCAGCCTTCTCTCTGAGGCCAGCGCCCATGCCAGAAAGCAGAGGCCTTGGGGCACCTGGTGACAAAGTGGGGGGAGGGGTATAGGAAGGGACCAACGGGCTCTAGTAGAGTCATGTCCTGAGGGGACAGGATACAGGCACCCCGAGGCCTGCCTCTCCCTCAGAGCTACGTGTCTGGTGACCAGACCCACACGTTTCCTGAGCGAACTTGTTCCTCAGCCCTGTCCCTTCCCCTTCTCACTGTCACCACAGTGACCTGTGAGCGCCTCTAGCTGGGCCCCTGGACCTCAGCCTGGCTCCTGCCCGCTCACCAGGACCACTGACTCCCACCCTGGCTCATCTTAGATGTGGCAGCCCTCCTGCAGAGCGTGGCTCCTCTGCGAGCAGGGTCCCAAGGCCTGAGTTGTGTCCCAGCTGTGCTCTGAGGCCAGGCGGTCCTTCTGCAGGACCCAGCTCTCCCTGTCCTCACTTCTCGGAGCCGTGTCCGCTGGCGATGCCACCTGCCCTGGCAGCTGGCGGTGAGCGTTTGTGACTGCCTTTGCTCCTCCGCCGCGACCCACCAGCGGACTTCCCGGCTCCCCTTCCCGGTGAGCGTGCTACAAGACAGGATCAGGGGGCCCACGCCCGCGGGGGTGGCCGCGGTCAGCTGTGGGGTTCGCACCCTCAGCGCTGGTTCCCGCTTCCACCGGCCGCCGCGCTCGCGGGGCCGGTCCTCGGCCCGCACCGAGGACGGGAGGATGCGCGCAGACCACCGCCAGGCACGCAGGCTACGTCCCCACCCCGAGTTCTGCCGGACGTGAGTCACAGAGCGGCGCGTGCGCAGAAAACAAGGCCGAGGACCGCAGGGAGGCCAGGGGTGCCCGGCGTTTCCCGTGATGAGACTCGCGGGTCCCCAACGCCAGGACGCCCCGCGGTGGCCTGGAGACCGAGGCGCAGACTCCTGGGCCCGCGCTGAGGTTCAGGGCCGAGTCTGGGTCTTAGGTTGCTTCTCTCTCTTTTCAGTTAATAAAACTGCCCGCTGCGGACGACGAGCCGCGGCGCCGGTCCAGGCACGGGAGACTTCCGAGCCGGCCGGGACCCGAATTAGGAGACGAAGCAGGCCCAGGGGCGGGGGCGCCCCGC